GGGGATGGGGATGGGGATGTGAGGGAGTACCTCGTGGGGGGAGGCAGATAAGGAGCTAGAAGATAAATAGCATTTATTGTAAATAAATAAATTCTCATCACAGATAAACATTCGGGAGCAGTCAGCACGTAACTATCAGTTCTAACCCTACTCCCTGCACCTCCATCCCCCCCATCCACCTTATACAGTCAGGGGAAAGGAAGGAAGGGCATTACGGATGGAGAGGAAGGTTTGGACAGCAGTTCAGTTCACAGGATCTGTTTAGGATGGTTCTTGTACTGATCTGAATACAGCGTCTCGGTCTTCCATCTCCAGATGTTTTCACTGTTTTGTCAGAGATAAAGAATCACTGGTTTACACTTGTAAAAATTAACATTTTAAACAAAAATGAACACTCACAGCTTATTGACAGAAAGAATACGAGATTTACTTCAGGCATAAAGTGTCGGAAAACCAAGAGCCCTGGGCTCAAAGGCTTCTCTCAATTTTGTCTGCAGCCTGAAGTTGTTCAGTTACCTGGGAGCCAATGTCAAAGTAGTTGGCACGAGTCCATATACCTTGCTTGTTGCTGGCTGCAAGTCTCATTATGAAGTTTGTAATGATAAAGTACACTTTCACTACTGCTCGAGCCTTGTAAGCAGTGTTTACACAGCTGCTGACTTTCAAACAGTGCAACAAGTCTTTAGTATTCCTTGGTTTTTAAAACAGTTTTCTCCTCACTTCAATCTACAATTAAAAATATGGAAAAATGTAGAATAAGACGGGGCATTTACTGGGGAGAAGAATGGAGGCAGACAGACCGGAGAGGCCCAGCAGTGTGGGAGACAGACACCGATGGGCTGAGGTGAGAGATACTCGCTCCCTTTCCCCTGCTTTTAACAGAGAGCAAATGCAGTGAATCAGCACTTTACATCAGATTAATGCTGCTTGCAGTGTGGCCACAGTTTCTGGGTAGGAATTGCACCGGCTACATTGTGCACAGCAGGCTCCCGCTGACAATGTGAGGTGTAGCAGACAATGCACCGTTGTGTAATTTGACTGGTTGAGTCACCATTGATTTCCTCTGGGACGGAACTGCCTTGATGGACTGATCGGTCACATCGTGTTGCTTTGTGTTGGAGTATTCGTTCTGGCTTCAGGCACCTTCTGTCTTGGTTGAAAGAACGGCCCGCCTACCATTTCTGTGCGCCGAAGAGGACAGGACCCCCAGGCAAAATCAAACTCTTTATCTAGTCAGCCAGAAATGTGGCACCAGACCTTTGGCGATGGAGGTAACTGGCAAAGACATGGCAAACTGCAGTGCCTCAGGAAGGAAGCTCGCTATCACCTTCTCAAGGGGCAGTTTGGGCTGGGCAATAAACTCTGGCTCAGTCAATTCCCCCACCTCGCAGGAATAAAGATTTTCCATGAGGGACCAGGAGGTGAGGTACTCACTGCGCAAGTCTGGCCTGCTCTTGTCACAGTATTGACATTGCTAGTCCAGTTCAGTTTCTGGTCAATGATAACCCCCAGTTGGATAGTAGTGATGGTTTAGAGGTGGAAGGATATTAAACATTAATGGAAAATGTTATAGATTCTCTCTCTCTCTCTCTCTCTCGTTGGGATGGTCATTGCCAGGAAACGGCGAGGTCCAAATGTTCCATGTCAGTTCGGCTAGGCCTGGATTTTACTTTAGATGAACAAAGTCTGATTCACAAAGTGACTATAACCCAGAATGACACAACGACTGACTTTCCAATCTCAGAATTGGAGCAGTGTAGGGGCCGGAGGGGATGACAGAGACGGGGAGGGTGGTAGGGGCCGGAGGAGGTGATGGAGACGGGAAGTGGGGTGGGGGGTTAGGGGCCAGATGGGGTTAGAGTAGTGTGTGGGGATGGGTGGTGGTTGTGAAGGGATGAGAACACCTGTCAGAGGCGATGTCACAAAGCTGTATGTGTGTATATGGGGGGGACAGGGGAGTGTGTGTGTGTGGGGGTGGGGGGAGTGTGCATGTATGTCTCCAGGTGCCGGTGCCCCCACCCCTCCTCGTGGTTGTCCTCGCCATGTCTGGCACCCTCTCCGTGCTGCTGAGCCTCGCTATCCTCGCTGTCCTGGGCACCCTGCCCAAGTTGTTATTGGTGTCGGGGCCTCCCTCAGTGCCACTGCTGCGGCTGCCCTTCGTCTCTCACAACCCGTTCAGGCTGCGGTGCCCAGCAGGGGGGCGGAGCGGTCGGCTCCACTGGCAGTACAGCAATGGCAGCGCGGCACGGACCATTGCCGGGCCCTGGGCAGCTCGTTATTACCGAGGGCCCCTCAAGCAGCTGAAGATGAGGAGCCGCGTGCTGTGGGACCAGCTAGAAGTCCGGCAGGCCAGGCCCTGGGACTCGGGCCTGTACGTGTGCAAGGACGGCAGGCGCACTCTGGCACGCTTCCAGGTCGAGGTTCAGGACGCCACCCGGCTTCACGTCTCCCAGGCAGCGCTGGGCTGGCTCCCTGCATCCCCCCCTCCTGGGGACGCTCTGCTGTTTACCGTCTGGAGTCCCTGGCAGACCTGCGACCGCTGTGGAGCCCCGGGAGAGCGCAAGAGGCTGGGCTACTGTTATGGACGGGTAGGGGCTGAGACCGTGCCCTGCGGGCTCCTGACTGGGCTTGGTTTCCCCTCCCACGGCCCTGAACTGCAGGTTGAGCCCTGCCGCGTCAGTTGCCCCCTCAGGGCAGCCCCGCCACCGCCCTCCCCCCGTACCCGCCTGGCACAGCTGGGTGCCCGCCTGGTGCTCACCTGCCCGGGAGCCTCCATCCACCGGCCGGTATCATGGCAGCGAGATGGGGCACCCCTAACCCGGGCCAAGCTACTGCGACGCCGGGGCCAGGCCCCCTCTCGCTGGCTGGACCCCCTGACCGGGGGAGCCACTTACTACATCGCCCGGGTGGCTGCCTCTGACCAAGGCCTCTACCGCTGCCTGGTGGGCGGGAGGTGGGCTGCCACCTTCCACCTGGTGCTTCCTGCTGCCCCTGCACGTCGCCGCTTCGACCTGGGCAGATTGCTGGGGGTGGCCCGGGCACTGTTGGCCACCTTCGCTGCTCTCTTTGTCAGCAGCGCCCTCCTCGAGCTGGCTCGCTGCTGTTCCTCGCCCGACTCCTGTCCCTGCTGGCATCACTGACCCCCAACCCCTGCCCCTGCCAGTGTCACTGACCACACCCTCCCCAACCCTAATGCCTGTCCCTGCCAGTGTTGCTGATGAAAGTTTTCCTCAATTCCTCACCTCGTTTGCCTCGTCTCCTCGGCTCACTGCCTGCTAGTGAGGAGGGTCTCCCTGACTTCTCTGTCTCCTGCCTTCATTGCCGTGCCCCATCTGCTTCGACGTGTGACCTTCTGACTGTACCTGAGTGGCTACAGGATCCGCCTGTTCATTATCATTAAACAATTTATTTATTTATGAGAGGGTGGTTCTTAGTCCATTTGTCTTTTGGAACCTCCAGGCAGCCTATGGGAAAGCTTTTGTTGAGGTGCTTAGGAGGCAAGACCTCGGGTGATACATCAAAATAGACGGAGAATTGGACAGGAATCAGGGAATGGATGGAAATGTGGCATTTTCAAGTGGGCAGTAAATGTCAGGAGGTCCAGAGCTGGGGCCCCGGTGTTTCAGCAATCTGCATTGCTCTCTGCCTCCTCATGGTTAATGTATTTCAGTTTGCAAACTAACCTCTGAGGATGCTGGACTGTGGCTGCAATAGGAGACAGAGACAGGTGAAACGGCAGAAGAGGTATCACCTGGTGAACTGTGAAGTTACTCACTTTGAACAGGAGAGCAGAATACTTCTTTTTTAAAAAGAAGCAAAATTTGTAAACGTTGATGTCCAGAAACGCCTGGGTTTGCTTGCACAAAGAACACAAAATCATCGGTATTGCCAAATTGACCTAATGAAAACCGAAAGAACTGCGGATGCTGCAAATCAGAAACAAAAACAGAAATTGCTAGAAAAGCTCAGCAGGTCTGCCAGCATCTGTGGACAGAAGTCGGAGTTTAACATTTTGGGTCTGAGGAAGGGTCACCGGACCCAAAACGTTAACTTTGATTTCTCTCCACAAATGCTGCCAGACCTGCTGAACTTTTCCAGCATTTTCGGTTTTTGTGTCAAACTGACCTGTCTTGTCAACACATTTTGACAAAGCAATCCCTAGGTTTCTGTGCTCAACGAGTAATTGTTTGTTACAAATAAATAGATTCTAGCAACACTAACAATTGCAAACCAACGCTAGATATAACACCACCAGTTAAAAGCTCCCCCTCAATGCATGCCCACAGAAGCAGGAGGAAAATAATTTGTGTTACAGATAGAGGGGAAACACGAGGAAAGGCCCTTCAGTGTTCCCTGTTCAGAGGGTTCCATGGAGATGATCTTTTTTAGTTTGTCAGCCGTGCTGCTTCTTGGTTCTCCTTATCCAGGGTGGTTGGGTTCCTACCTCACTGCTTAGGAGTCACTGCTTTTGCAACTTGCTTTCTTTAGGTGTGTAGTGGTTTTACTGCAGAGAAGAGGACTCAGCTCCTGCCCTTGCAGAGTTCTGATGGCTTCTGCCTCAAGCATTCACATGCCCCAAGCTGATCACCTACTGGGGAGCCAACGGCAGCGTGGTTGGCAGGCAGAATCACTTGTCTACAGACCAATCTATGGCCAGCCGAGACTCCATTCCTGCATACCCCTTAGCTCCAGTTCGTCTGCAGCTGCACAACCTGAATAGGCAATAGTGTAAACAGCACTTACAATGAGGGTCACGTTACTTGCTTTTAAAAAGTGCCGTAACCCTTTGATTGTAAAAAAAAAAGCCCTTCTCCAGTTTCAATCCACAGTGGGGAACAAAAACAGAAAAAGAAAAAGGCGCTGTCTTTCCAGTAGGTGGTGCAAAAGCAATTGGGAAGGCAGGTTATTGTAGTGCCTTCATTGTAAGCACAGGATTGGAGTAGAGGAGTAAAGTCTAGTTCTGATTGTAGAGGGGTCCTGAGAGACCGCAGCTGAAATACTGTGAGCAGGCTAACACACTAGAAGCAGTTCATCAGATTAGTCCCTGGTATGGAGGGAGTTGTCCTGTGATGGAGTACTGAGTAAACTCAGTCAAATATTGTCTGGAGCTTAGAAGGGGAGGGAGTTTCACTGAAACTGACAAGATTCCAGGGTGGGGTGGGGGTGGGGGAGTGAAATCACTGAGAGATTGTCCTCCTGCTTGGCCCCATTGGAGGAATCTAGAACATGGGAGTTTGGTAGGGGAGGGGGACAGGAGAAGGGGATGATCATTTCGGACTGAGATGAGATGTTTCTTCACTCGGAGGCCTGTGCATCTTTGCATTTCTCCATCCCAGAGGTTTGCAGATGCTCCGTGGCTGAATATATTTAAGACTGGGATCTGACAGATTCTTTGGGGGGAATTGAGGGGTTTGGGGGCGGAGTGGGAGAGAATCAGCCCATGATTGTGCTGAATGGACGGGCCCAATGTTTTAGTTGTGAGGTTATGCCGTAGAGATTGACCACATTAATCCCCGGGGTAGCAGCATTGTTTCATGAGAGCCTGAGGAGATCTGATTTCTCAGGAGTTTCAAACAACTGAGGATTGACCTTATTGGACTTTTTTTTTTATTTATTCATTCATGGGATGGAGGTGTCACTGACCAGGCAGCCTTTTTTTGCCAGAGGAGAGTTTAGAGTCACATGTAGGCCAGACCAGGTAAGGATGGCAGTTTCCTTCCCTAAAGGACATTAGTGAACCAGATGGGATTTTCCCGACAATCGACAATGTATTCACGGTCATCACTAGATTCTTAATTCCAGATATTTTATTGAATTCAAATTCCATGGCGGGATTCGAACCTGCATCCCCAGAACGTTACCTGGGTCTCTGGATTAAATAGGCCATTGTCTCCTCCTACTTTACAGAGCTCTTGCAGGAAGAGCAGCAGGACAATGTGGCATTATGAGATAGAGGAAGCACAGATTCACAAAGGCTTGAGAAATCTACTGCAATTCATAGAATCCCTACAGTGTGGAAGCAGGCTATTCGGCCCATCGAATCCGCACTGACCCTCCAAAGAGCATCCCACCCAAACTACTGCCCCACCCCAACCCTACCCCTGTAACCCTGCATTTCCCATGGCTATTCCACCTAGCCAGCCCATCCCTGAACACTGAGTAATTTAACATGGCCAGTCCACCTAATATGCACATCCTTGGACTGCGAGGAAACTGGAGCACCCGGAGGAAACCCACACAGACATAGGGAGGCTGTGCTAAAGGTTTCCATTTAAAGTTGTCATTTCAAAGAGGTTCAAAACCGTTTCTGGGCACTGAGTGGATATCAAGTTGTTAGCACAGGGCTGCTTGCGGGATCTTGCTGTCTGAAGACTGGCTGTGTGGTTTCCTGCATCACCACTCCCTTCTGGGGGGCAATAAATGCTGGCCAGCCTCTGTTGGCTGTGTCCCAGGAAACTGGGGAGAAATGCCTTCTCCCAGAGAGTGGAATGCTCCGTCACTGAAAACGGTCGAGGCTAAAACATGGAATGTTTTCTTTCGGTGAAAGGGATCAAATGATTATAGGGAGAAAGGGGGATTACTGGTATCGGGGTGGGTGATCTGATGTGAGCATAGTGAAGGGTGGAATACGTTCAAAGGGCTGAATGGCCTACTGATGTTTTCAATGTTTCTGCCAGTGTCTGCCCCCCTCTGTCCTTGCCCCCTCATTGTACGCTCTCCCCCCCGCCCTATCTCTGACAC